TAAGTGAAAAAGTTAAGTCGATCTAGATTGCCACATATTCTCCAGTTTGTATGCGTTTTACTCCGTGAGTTAAGAAGCTACAAATGACAAGATTTGGCTCATAATATTTCTTCCTAAGTAGAACGTCGAACGTCCGGATCGCCAGCCTATGCCATAGAAAGTTGCCAAAGAAGTTTTATCGAAACTAAAGAATACTTAAAGGTTTTTGCTAAACTATTTCGGATGGGGTTTACTTTAATTTAGCATCTTAAAAGAACAAATGATCATTTCAACAATCTACCGAAAATGCGGGAAATCTTTGTTTCTTCTGTGCTTCTGTGAAACAACCTGACTATACCATACTGTGTCTTTACTATCCTGCAGTCAATATTTAGGTGTCATAGCTTAATCAGCAATTTAATTCAGCAGCACCATGGATCGTTCTTCGTGTTCAAGATTCTGGTGGAAATTGAATTACTCTCTGCTAGGGTATATACGAATCACATTGGACTAGGAACTGTAATAGGTTGGCTTGAAAAGTGAACCCTGATTTCGGAGTCAAAACTCTTTTAATGGCAATTGATCATTCGCAAGTGGATAACATTTCATTAGAATACCAAGTGAAGTGCGCATTTATGTATAGAGATATACATACTCGTACATACCGACATACGCGTGTGTGAACAGATATGTGTATGGTGTATGGTGTATGGGTCCCAGAGGTATGATTGCCGTTCTGAACACACTTGAGGTGAAACTATTTCGACCTGCTCAACAGCTTCCAACTGTCTACCTGTGCCTTCAAAACCAGATAGTCAACCAGCTAACAGACCATTCGAACCTTTATAATTTATTTATCTTTATCTTGAATTACGCCATGGGAGTATTGACCAGGGTAAGTCTGTAAATTTCAGCATATTCATGTCGGGCAAAAGCAATAGCAATAGCAATAGCAAACAATGGAGTATAATTCTGAGTTTCATGTGATTGAAAACTAAGAGTTTCCAATCGAACAATTAATAATAAAGAACAAGAAGAAAATAAATAAATAAATAATAATAACAGCAAAAAGACAAAGTTTGGAATAAAGCACAGCCAAACCAAACAGTCGCCCGCCCCGCCCCGCCTCGCCTCGCCACGCTCACTCCTCACTCACATTCGCCGGCGAAGGGTCAAAAGCATTGCCCAAAGAGCCACGCATCCAGTTACTCCGATACTCGTAGAGACCGGGGCCAAGACAAGAGTCTGAAGTCGCCACTTTGACGGTATTGAGTGACGGCAACCGTCGAGAATAAGCGAGTATAAGCGGGACGGGACCCGATGGATGAGCATGCGGCTACCAAAAATTAATTTCAATTTAGAATACAAACAGACATGACATCTACGCAAACTATGCAAACTTCGACCCTAGATATTCTAATATTATGGTATGCATAAAAACCATTGATTACAACTGTTCTACTTAATCGAAAAACAGTTAGAGAAAAAAATTATTCAAGAATAGGGCTATGATGGAGTGGCGACGTTCATACTCGTGTGTATTGACTGGGATTTGTCTTATAATTAGACCCAAGCACGATTATTTCGGAGAGTATGCGAGAAATCTCTTGGAAAGACGAAGAAACCTAGCCCAACGCCGAAAGTCGAAAGCCGAATATTCAGGCAAAACAAAAGACAACCGGTTTATCTGTATTCTTGGATATTCTATTTGATGTTGGCAAATGACAAGATAATCCAAAGTAATCAATCAAAATTATTTAAATTTATTAAGCCACAATAAACTTGAGCCCAATTCGCAATTGCCACGTTCTTAGGCCGAAGCTGTATCCAAAGCCTGACATGATCGCTGCCAAGAAGGTCTATTCTATTCCCCTGTTGAACCCAACAATCAAGATTATTGGAGGGTCATTTACACAAAAATATGCCCAACATATTTGTACACGAAAGGCTTCTCTGTTCACAAATATATGGCATGAAGATTTATTTACTTACAAAAGAATTATACAGTGACGAAGCTATGGCAGTACAGTAGTCTGATTCGATCAAATTGGAGAAGCGCGCACCAATTCGACTTCTCTTGGGGCTCTCTCTTAATAATAAACTCCTTTGGGCCTTTGTACAAATTTTAAACATTCAAGTAAATACAAAGTGCCGTCGGCGTAACAAAAAGTCAATAGTACTGCAAATAGATTGGGAATCTACAACAGGTTCGTTCCGGTGTTTGTCCAGCAACGAGGATCTTGATCTGAGTTGGTTGTTGTCGCATATCCTTTAAATAATATTTGTACCACAAATGCGTCCAATTACAAAGCAAGTGCAGGGAATGCGGCATAGTTGCGTCGGGTTAAGGTTTAAGTACGAGTCTGTCACCAGCAGAGTCCACGCCATTCCCCTTAACTACAGGAGAGTGTATATTTCGCGGATTAAACTATAGCTCTAATAATATGAATATGTTCATATGTAATTGAATGCGCCATCAATTTGACTTAGTGAATTAAAGCGATACGAATTTGAGGAAATGGAGAGTATGGACCATACTCAGGGCCGGCCTTGTTTGGTTGCACTAGGAGAAATGCCTTATTTGGACCACAATGCCTTTAGCTCTTCAATACGGTCCATACATCTGTACATATGCACATTTGCAATTGAATAAACATGTTCAGTTTCTGAAAACCTCAAGCTTTTGTGTCAAATTACTGTCATTCTTTTTCCGCAATCTTCGGACACAATGAGGAATTAAGAAGCTGGTGAATGTAATCAACTAGGAGTATCCATCCTGTGCCCCGACCCTCCGACCCTCCGCCCCACCGACCCAGCTGAAAATCCATAATGTATTTATTTGGCTTATACTTACACCAATGTAAATAAGAGCTAAGAATCGTAATCAAATGGCACGAAAAGAGCACCATACTAAGTTCCAAAGCATTTGTCAAATTTTAAGAATCAATAACCGCATTCATGGATAATGTTGCGCCGTCTTATCGTGTGAATCTTGTATTGACACTGTATCCGGGATATTCAAAGGCCAAACGGATGGGGGACAAAGTAAAATGTCTTGCGATATCAAGCCCATTCACTAAGCTGGCTTCCGACTTCACCCTTTATCCTGCTTCGTACACATATTTGTACAATACATTTTAGGTTTTCCATAATCACAATGAGACCTCCACAGCAATTCCTTAACAACAACTCCTTAAACCGAACTCTAACGGTAGCATAGCACACATAGCATAGCACATCGTAACGTAGCGTCGCGCCGCTTTGTGACGACTCCACGAATCAGCGCCACCGAAGCGAAGCTGACGTCGACGGTGGTACGTTGGTACGTTGGTACGCTGGGACGCTAGTACGCTTACAATATTTCTGCCTTTTTGGCACACTGCCGAGACTAGTTTTCATTTCGCGTTCGTCTTTCATGGAATAGGGTTCTGTTCTTGCCGTCGGATCGGGCAAAAGCGCGTGTCGATATCTGATTGTTCCTCGCCTGGCGACCCACGTGCGAATGTGTTCAAAAAAATACAAATACAAGATGATGATACTAAATTGCTTGGACTAATTTAATTTCGAAGCAAGAATTGAAGGCCTTTGTTAAAGGCATGAATTAAATAACTTCAAATAAATAAAAGTGCGTGCCTAATTATTTTGTATAAGTGAAGTTTTTTTGAAGTTGAATATGATAACATGACTTTAGCGTATGTGGATATGCCAGCGGTTCATGTTCAGGTATTTTTCAGAATCTGTTTAGAAGGTTTGGCATCATCTCAAGTGTATCTTACCGCAAAAAAACAAAAGCCTAAGTGCCTTTGGCCAGCCGTAGACACGGACATTGAATGATTCCATCGTGTGTTGATGCTACATCTTTTTTTGGTGTCGGAAAAGCTATATCTTTGTTCTTTATGCGTAATAGTAAAGAAAGAGTGTCTCTCCGAAATCTTTTTGTGATTGTATCTATGGCTACGTATATGAAATATGATAAATGTAGTGAACAAATTTCTAATGGAACTACAGGAAGTATTTGATGACGCTCTGACAATGTGAGGATTGGGAATGAGGTCTCATTTCTTGCCAAAAATATTTTATTAAAACATTCTCGTAAGTTGATTGTAACAGTTATCCGATCGTATCACACTTACCAAGATTAATACAAAAGGTCCCTTTGTAATTGGGCAAAAGTAAAAACATTTGGCCTCTCATTGTTCTAGCTCTTATAGTCGACTATAGTATAGTCGAGCGGAGATACGGATACATCTATACCGACTAGGCTAATCATTCTGTTCAATAATATGTCCTATATGTGGCCAGAAGCACTTCCCTCTGCTTGCATACATTGCCCCGCATTTAATTTGTAACATTGGAGCCTAAAAACAATTAATTGAACATCCCATATGCATGATTTCGGTAGTACAAATAATATGTACCATACATATCTCTCTCCATATCCGAAGCATAAAAAGGTGTCTCAAAACTTGAAAAATCATATTTTTTGACAGTGATCAGACGTTTCCCATCGGTAATGGGTTGATCTATAAATACACAATATTGCTTCAATCACCAAGTACCAGCTGTGCAAAACTGTGTCTATGACTTCAAATATATCCCTCTAAGCCTGGCACAACATGCAGCAGGTCAAATTTTACTCGGGAAATAACACATATTTTGTGCACATGGAAATAAAAAGTAGATTTAAAATCTTCTGAGGGGTTTCAAAACTTCTTCACGTAATTGGTGTGGTTCATATTAACAGGCAAAAAAAATATTTAATTGATGTAAAAGCTCTTAGTTTTGTTGCTAATGTGAAAAATATAATAAGTGTCTCAAGACACTCTTACGTGTTAGAGGGATATCTCGATATGTGTACATATGTATGTATAGTGGGTAATATAATGGGTAGAATATTCCGTATAAATTAAGAATACAATTTAAATGTTTTCCATAGGCTTGCGTAATGTTAAGCCTTTTTTGCGCAAAACAAGTTGATTCTCATCGATTCTCATGCTCATGATTTGTTCCATTTGTATCAGGAGCGCCTTAGTGGACATGGGAGTCTAGGATTGTCCAGCAGCAGCGCGGCTTACACGACCCATTCCGGTGGGCACACAGGTAGAAGCGGTCCGGCCACTGGGCATAGTGGACACAGTGGTACTCATGGGTCAGCAGCTACCATGCATCATCAATCACTTCAGTCCGATTTTCAGCCTCCGTATTTTCCGCCGCCGTTCCACCATTCCACGCAAAGCCCTCCTCAGCAACAGGTAAGTTATCATCTCTATCGAACTAATTCAAGTATTTCCAAAGTTATTTAGATATCTGAGTACTTGCAGAATCACGGTGCCCTCGAATACCTGGGCACGGATCCGTATGGTCAGCCTTTGTCATCGTTACACCACGCCCCCCTCCATCACTACAATCAGTTGGCGGGCCTGAGGTCGACGCAAGATCAACTTGGGATTCACAGAACCCACAGAGAGGCGGAGCTGCAAGGACATGTTGTAAGTAAAGCAAATTAATACTGTAAATAAAGCAGTTTCCGTGCCTCATTCAACCTTTCGTAAATTTAAGAATTTTTTCCTTCCCTTCGCATTATTCTTGCATACTTTGCTACATTCTTGGCTTCGCAAACCCAAGGGAATTTCCAAGGGAAGAAGTTGCCCTGCCCCCCTTCTATAGAAGTTTGAAGTTATTTTCTAACAAATTCCATTCGAGTGCATTAAAAAAATTATCCGCTTAAATATGCCAAAAATGTTCTTGAGAATATACAAAACCATCTTGCAAACAACGATGGAAATTCCTATCCCGCAGAAGGGTGACTATACTCAAAATTATGAGTATTTTACTGGCGAAGCTCTGCCATGCAGTAAAACGCATCATTTCTGATACGAAAAGGCGTATCCTCGCAGGCACTTGTGCGCATCTGTACGCCAAAGACGGCTCATGTACGAGGATATACATACAACACTTTACAAAAGTATGTGTGCAAGCCGGTTCGCATTATTCCCAAGGCCCTGGGATTGGCTAGGCTCCTTCAACCCCTTGGCAAATTAAAGACTCGATGTATCGTAATCTGGCAATTATGGTCATGGTTCTCAAAATTTACTTAGCAGAGACCGACGCAACTTTGTCCGCGTACGCAGATGCTGATGCAGATGCATGTGTATGTAAAAGTAGTCATTTTTGTATCCGAGAAGTACCGCGGATGTACTCGAATTTAAGAGGAAACGTTTCCGACCCATAAAGATGTGATGCCCTGCCAGTTGAAGTTTGTTTCACACACCTCTTTCCGCCCCCGAAAATCGAGAAAAACCAGTTGTATCCACAACATTCTTTCGTACATTATATAAATAAATAAATTTTCTACAAACAAACCGCTTTGCTTCCGTAGTATTGCCAAATATCCCTGCTACTAAACGGCTTCTTTTTCAATGAGCGCTTGAAATATTTTTTTATTTTATATATTTTTACAGTCCCAGCTGGCTCATGGATTTCCGTACACAGATAGAAGAGGCGACTACAGCAGTGCAATATCGGCAGGAGCAGCGCATGGAACCCGAATCGGCCATGAACATGACTCCCTGGCCCTGCATCAAGCGCTGCAAAATGCTGTCGACGATGTGCAAGCACCTGCCATAGATGACAACGTAGCCTTCATGTCAGACCTTCCACTAATAAAAAGTAAGATTAATCAAATAATTAATAGTAATAACTATTCGATTTATCAAATGCGGGTAGTACCCAGGAGCCTATAAAGCTGATCAGGAACCATATCCTGATTAAAATCCTATCCATGTCCGTCTGTTTCTCCTAGTTTATATTTCTTTAAACATCAATTGAATATATGTAGCTAACATCCAGGTTTTGTTGACAAATTTTCAAAGATTAAATTTTGGGGGCTCAGCAATATAAGAGCTATTCTAAACATCGGGCAACAGGATGAAAGCGGAGATTTTAGGCCTCATCGGTTTGACTTTTCGGAAAGATATTTTTAACATGAATTTACTAGGATGTATGTACATTGAAAACATTTCAATTATTGACTTTAAGTCAAACATTGTGTAGGCATATTGCTCAAATACATTGTACATACAAAATCATTGAGGCGTATAGAAACAACAAAGTATGTATATGTAAAGGAGTTATGTACTTATGTACGAGAGTACCTTACGTTTTTGAGCTTGTAAGTACCGCAGCACATCATACTGTGAGCAAGGCGGAACCTTGAACACACCTAAATAACAATGAATGACCAACCCTCAAAACGAATGATGTTATGAAATAGAATCTTGCCCTTCTAATTGGCAGGATTAGGGTAAAATGATCCCTACGTCCTGCGCTCACACTTTGCCATTGCCGAACAATCACAACAATAGTAATAATAATATATTTCCTTTACAATGAACAATATATGTATGTATGTACATGCGTGCACTCGCAGACGTACAAATATGTATGTCTGTGTACCCCATGCTCATGTTCCCGTCCCCCCGTACGAATGCGTAAACTAATTTTGAGGTTTGAATTTTTGTGTTGCGTATTTTTCTAGGCATGAAAAGCGGTAAAGATGCAGGGAACATTGGTTCTGGTTCCCCCAGTGAGGTATTCTGTGCAGTTCCTGGTCGCCTTAGTCTCCTATCGAGCACGTCGAAATATAAGGTCACCATTGCGGAAGTGCAACGAAGACTGTCGCCACCCGAATGTTTAAACGCCTCCTTGTTGGGCGGAGTTCTTCGAAGGTACGTTGTTTATGCCCATGAGTCTCAATGAGTGCCATCCATGAATACGTCTCTTTACTTAGGGCCAAGAGTAAGAACGGCGGGCGTTTGCTAAGGGAGAAGCTTGAGAAGATCGGCTTGAACCTACCCGCGGGAAGGCGAAAAGCGGCTAATGTGACGTTGCTAACGTCTTTGGTGGAGGGAGAAGCAACCCACTTGGCCAAGGACTTTCACTTTGTTTGCGAGACGGAATTCCCGGCTAGGCAGTTGGCGGAGTACATTGTACGTCATCAAACGGAGCCAAATGATTCATATCGACGAAAAGAGCTCATCCTTCATTCCCAGCAGGTAAATACATTAGTTTTATGACAGATACTCGTAGATCAGTGCTCATTCAATGCTCTATAAATGACCTACAGATTACAAAAGAGTTAATGCAGATCTTAAGCCAAGATCGGACTACTCATTTTGGAACAAGATCACAGCACTTGTTGGAGCCGTCGATGCAGCGTCATTTAACACACTTTTCACTAATTACGCACGGGTTTGGATCACCCGCAATTATGGCCGTTCTGCATGCTTTCCAGGTAAGAATCGGCAACTGCTGCAATCGGTACGTTTTAGTGGTAGCTAAATGTGAAATTTTCTCTTGCAGACATTTTTGAATGAATCATTAAACTATTTAGAAAAGCTATATCCTTCGAATGGAGGTGGCATGGTGTCGTCATCATTGGACAAAAGTAAAATGGACAACGAAAAAAAATGATAGGCCTAGTGTATATTGCCACAGATAAAAGCAAATAGTATTTTAAGGATAACTTTCAATACGTTAGATACGGCAACCATAAAATAATAGCATACCTGTAAATTAATTTATTTAGCTAAGGTGTAAATTATTCAATTTTTTTTGTAACTTAATCAGTAATTTTAATGGAAAATATTCAAATCTATAATATACATCTAATTTATTTAGAAAACAATGCATCGACTCTTTACAACTATTAAAACGAGATGATCTTTAAAAATAAATTCATTTGTAAGTAGAGATGATTAAAAAGTATTCATTTTTAATTTTCTATGTAACTTAACTTACAATTTAAAGATTTTAAACTGATGCGAACGAATAAAATGTGTTTTTAAAACTATTGCTTATCAATCTTTAATATTTAACACACACAGAAATCAAAGAGAGTGGCAAAGAAGATTTGATCAATCATGACATCATCTACGGCTCATAGACCAGTCAGCTGTCGGGATCTTGGATTCCGCCTCTCCAGGTGCCGCAGCGCAGCGGTCCTCCGCCGTTCTGGTTAGATTAGCTGTGTTTTAATATTTTTTTAATATTTATAGAAAAAAACTCGTGACAAAAGTACATATATGGAATGCCCATTAGCATTGTCTAACATTTATTTACAAAATAAATCGTCTTTTCACAAACAAGATAAATAATACAATAACAATTAAACTTAAACTGAAGATAAACATCATTGACGTTCCTAAACTAAAGTCTGCTTGGCTGCCAATTAGATATTCAGCATCTTGTGAGCACTTAATAATCTCCGCATCCAAAATTTGTTTAATAAGATCGTTTTGCTGCTCTGTAAATAAAAAACAAAATAGGTTATGCATTGCGGGGATCGGTTAATCGAATTTGCAATACCTTCACGATCACTTGTGACCCACTCCACGATAGGTGCTTCCAGATGGTGATTATCTTTGTTCGATGTAGCGGCTATCCAGTCAAGCTCTTCGCAATGCGTCAGTCTGCTATTTATTTCAGTAACATCAGGCGGAACAGCTTTAGAGTTGTTACTGGATATTCTTAAAGGTAAGGGGGTCTCTTTCATTTTCTTAAATTCTGATATACGGTTTAGGTTCTGCAGCAAGCTTGATTTGTGTGAATTCATGGCAAAGTCTAAGAAGGTAATCAAAAGCCAGTAGCAAGCCTTCTCGATATGTGTTGAGTCGAGGCAGTTGGAGTCCCCATATATGGCAATGCGTCCTTGGTGTGGAACATTCATATTTTGAAAGTAGCTCAAGTTACGTTTGCTCATTTTAGGTCGTAGGAATCTACTTTTGAATTTCGAGTTATCGATCGAAAGGGTGTTATCCATATTGTTACCATCATTGCTTTCTAAGCTGCTGGAATTTGTTTGGAATAACCCCAGAATCGGTACAACTTTTTTGGGTTCCTTTTTCGAAGATTTTGAGCCCATCATAATCTGAAAAAATTGAGTTATTAAATGTACATTAATCCTTGGGGAAATTCTCTATAAATTTACCGATCGGCCTTGGTCGTTTAAACTGGTTCCTACTACAACATCAATTGGATTGGATGGAAATTTTACAATTGTTGCGCCACTAGCATAATACATCGAATGGTCGCCAAGTTTAAAGTGTCCCTCTCCAACAAAGTCACCAAACGCGATTCCAAACGGTTTCAATAGATCATTTAGAGCTGGAATATTAGCGCCACCAGTGTCTGGTATCCACCATTGTCTAGTATTCTCGTCGAAGAATTTTATTTTCTTCATCACTGTTGTGTTGTACCAATCAGCAAATATGACTACGCTTAGGCCGTCCTTATGAACATGTTCCTTTAGAATATGCACCTCATCGTCATCAAATTCTTTCTCAGGATCTACAATCAATAAAGTGCCATAATCTGAGGCGTTGAAGCATGTGTACGGTTCACGCAAGACATCAACGTAGTATCCAACGTTTCGTAAATATGTGTACATGTCCTTAAAATTTGTATGTATGTGGTCCGCTCTCCAATCCAGAGGATCGGATTTAACCTTTAAATCATCTCGCGGTATATACCTAGGAGGGTACCTCAAGCTATGGTACTGGTCCCACAAAATTCTTTTATTCCTGGGCGGTTTTCTTGTAACTTTTATGGTTAGCGGAAAGATCACTTCAATTAAAAGTGTTTCGTTTTTTTTGTCTCTTAAACTTTCAACAATTAGAGATATGTTTCCTTTCGAAACGCCTTCATAGTCTTCACCATCTTTATTAACAGCTGAAGCGAATTAAAGATGTTTTTTAACAACATTATCAAGGACCTTTTCGTTAATGACACTTACCAATATAAACGGACATCCATCCAGTCCACGGCCAGAGAATAGGGGAAAATCTTGTTGATATTTTGAGAAAGTGTCCGTTATGATCAACATCTGGAATCCATTTGGGAGCACCTACAACACGACTGGTAACTGATATTCCATTGAGTATTGTAACATTCACGATTGCCACGGAGCTCCCAAAGTAAAGAGGCTGAGAGCTGTATGGCCACATGTAATTCGAGGTAAAATCAAGCAATGGTGGAATTAGGCTAATTTTCGGCCTATACGATAACAAGCTTTGCATACTTTTCAAAAGGCTAAGCTTTCCTTGGCCCTGCTCAAACATGTTGTAGGTCGGAAGTTTTTCGGCTCCTTCTATGATTACTTGTTTTAAGGATGCAGGGTTTATCAGTTCAATTCTATGAAATGCACCGCTTATAAGCAACGCTGCTACACCTGCAACAACTGGCGATGAAACTGAAGTTCCCGATAGACGTCTACAGCCTGTGCGTACATCACTGCCTTCCACTTGGCTCCCATAGGTGACTATATCTAGCCCTAGTCTTCCGTAGCCAAGAGGAAGCTCCCATGTGGTCATACCTCGAGAGCTGAACTTTGCAATTTTATCATCAAATTGAATACCGCCTACACCTATCACATCGCTCTGATCACCAGGATTGTTAAGAGTCCCATATAGGGGGCCATCATTTCCAGCTGATGACACCATTATAACATTATTGGCTGACAATTCCAGAACCTTTTCCACGAACGGTGAATCCATAAAATCTGGTCCACCTATACTAAGGTTGAGGATGTTCACTTTTCTATGTATCGCATAGTTAAAAGCATCCAAGAACCACGAAGTGTAGGAAACCTAAAATATGCAGGATTTAGTTAACTTATTTCATTGATTAATCCAAAATTGCGTCACCTGAGAGTTTGTAAAGACTTTAAAGATGTACAACTCAGCGTCAGGAGCAAGACCAAGGCACTCTTTGGATGATGCTATCACCCCGGCGACGAATGTGCCATGGCTAACTCTATCGTCCAGAGACTTTTCATTTGTCCAATTAGTTCGCTCCTTGACATTTCGGAAATGTGGATGATTTTTGGTCAAACCAGTATCAAAAATAGCTACTTTGACTCCTTTTCCTGTTATACCCAGATTCCAAAGAACATTTGCATGCAATACTGAAGAAACTCGTCGCGAATGCTTTACGTCCTCTTTACGTACTATTCCTAGAGTACGACGGTTTTTATATGCTAGAGTTGCATTAAAGTTCCATGCCAGGGTGCGTTGCACACTTCGCTGCGGGACGACTGCCTTAACTGATGGATGAGATGTGACTGTCTTTACAATATGCTCTATTGACGACTTTTTGCCGCCTAAAATCCGTAAGATATCAAAATCACTTGGATATTGACTTGCCAAATTATTTCGAGGTAAGATTCTCCAACCTGTTATCTGTAATGTAAATGTTTATAATTAAAAGGTGATTGCACATCATTGATCATTGATACATACATTGGAACTCAACAGCTTAGTTTGTATATAGGACTCTCTGACCGTAGAAAAGTACTTAAAATGAAATTGAACAATGAACTCATTTGGCACGACAGTGGTTTTAAATGTGTCTTTGTCTGAGGCCGAGCATGCAGGAATACATTGAAACAAAATCAATCCGCTTATTGCATTTATGACACAAATAATAGTAGACACATTCATTTAGGTTGACAGTTAAAAATAATTTAAGTTAAAAGAAGACATAAATAAACAAAAGAACCGAACTAGGGCTGCAGTATCGATAAATATCGATGTGTTTGTAGCCCTAGGATCAGATGTTTATTTTCAGTGCGGTCGAATTTGGCAAAAGATAAAATCTAAACAGTAGTGGTACTCCTGAAAACGATTCAATTTTGCTTAAGATGTATTGCACCAGTTCTTGGAACTACAGAGATTTCGCTTCTTATATCCCTATTGCTGACTAACTACTGACTAACTAAAAAACAGAGACAGACTTGTGGGAAAAGCCTGCAGTGAAAGTGAGAGAGATATCGTTATCTTGGCTTTCTAGTTGAGCTGGGAGCAGTGCTGCGGCAGAAATGGTTAGTTTCTTAGATCCAATTTTGCTGGCTGTCACAAATATTGTAACAAATAGTGCCTCAGTTCTTCGACTGATAGCGAGGCGAAGTGTCTATAGACGGCTACGCACACTAATTTTTCGTTTTGTCTAAGATCATATGGTTGTTAATAATTATTTCATGAACAAATGCAGGGTCATCGACATTAAGTCCAATCTAGACGCAAACGGAAACGCTTTTCTATGGGTATTAAACACATTCACATTCACCACAAAATAAGTATATTCCTAAACTATTCGAGTACAGGGTATACAAAGATATTGAATTTTAATTTTCTATGAGTTTTTTTGGGGTCACCACTAATGTAGTTATCGAAATAAATTTTGGTCACATTTTTTCGTAAGCACCGGCAAGAAAATTGTTTAATTGAAGCAAAGTAACTGTATGTTAGCGATAAACGCTTTGTTTTGTAAAGCAATTAATTGTTCGTCATGTATAAGTACTTTAATTGTATAAAAAATAAGCGTCGTTTCTCAGTTCCTATAGTTTCATACACATGTGTGACCACACAATAATATTGTGTATATGAAAATGTAAACAGTGCAAATTATACTAATTATATTAGGAATATACACACATATGCAAATTCATTTAGCATATTACATAAGCTTCCAATGATATACATTCAGAACAATAACAAAATTGTGTTCTTATTGTAGGGATTAACTAATTTGCGCGATTTTACCTGGAAGTAACTATAATCATGGAAGAGTTGTGCAGCAATTTTGGACATTCGAGTACTTCTAGTACCGGTAGCAATTCATCAATTTCAGCTAAGACAGCATTGAGCGAGTGCTCAGCCGCTTGGATCAATTACTTGAGTGCTTTGAATAGTCTATGCACATCTGGTTCCAAGTTGGCACATTCCATAGCAGTCTTGGAGCAGTGGTCATTAAATGAAAAGCCGCTGTTTAACAATTATACGACATCTTATTTAACAAATTCATGGAATGATCTGGCCAGGTAAAATATATATATGGATGCAATAAGACTCCAATCGGGGTGATATGAACAGTGGCTTATGACATAAAATAAAATATTTAAAGGGAGTCTTATTGGGCATTAAAGTACTAATATGAACGACAATTCTTTTATCTCTATATGCTGCATATATTAACAGGCTTAAAATCACTATCTTAAACTAGTCCTATCTTCCCATAGGGCAACCACAGTGGCAACAGGTACTGTTAAAACACACATGTTGGCTATACTACAGGACTTTGTTACCATACCGTCCGTGGATCAATCTGCTTCTATGAATACCGAGCTGGAACAAAAACGACTCAGAGAGCATAATGAGCTTATCGTTCTGGAAAATGCACAATCAGTTATCAACATTCAGCATCAGTTTTGTGCAGCTAGCTACGATGCGTTTTCATCGCTAACATGCTGCTTCGTTTGTCAATCCCCAGTCGGATTTCCGCATGAACAAGACTGTAGCGTTCTCAAGCAACGGTAAGAAATCTGCTCATTCTTCTAGTAAAGCCTTACCTTATCTCTAAATATTTGTTAATTTTTAAAGATCTCAATACGATCAACGGTCACAGACTCCATCGCCAAACTTGTGTGTCTCAAATGTAAAATCGGATTCGTCGAAAGGAAATTCGCTAACCGATCAGCGCCCTATTGCAATTGGAATTACGGAATCAGGTATTATAATACGATTACTATTACTATTTTTACATATTCAAATCTTTTGTGTGTTTTTTTTTTTATTTTTTCAAGTGGAACAGCAGCGTTGCCCATCGCCGGTACTAACGTTTCATGATCCAAATCCAATGCAAGCTATTTTTGAACACACACGTGGTCCGTTGCCAAACCCAGGACACTTGCTTTCGATGAAGACACCATTTCACCGGAATGTAAAATCATCGTTGAGTTTCCCATTGTTTCCTTTAAATGGGCAGCGCCGTTGGTCAGAAGCTGCTGCTGGTGAAGTTATTGATGGAAACTCTACTGATCCTGAAAGCCAAATGAGGAGATGGTCCATGCCATGGGAAGCAACAAAGTCTGACACCAACACAGTGACGTGGAACCAAACCAGAATAATGCCAATGAATACTTTAAAGACTTCTTCTTATAAAATGTCTAGCTCTGACCGATACACTTCACATAATTCAGGTAACTATTCACGTTTAAGCTCGTAAACTTAAATTACTAACCATACCACTTCAGATGGAAACTGCCCTTTGCCATCAAGTAGTCAGGATGGTCTACTAGAAGCTATTCAGTTACTCTCTATAAAACCAACCACAATGAATCAAATAAATCCTCATACTTGTATTCCGCCCACCTCTCCGGATGGCGGTATAGACTAACTTTAAACTTGGATAAATTTGTAATTTGTTGTCAATGCATGTTTCGACTTCATTATTTCATGCTTTCTAATAGCGCTTCGGCTGTAAATACAACCAGCTAAATTTTTTCTTAGAACGAAAGGGGACACAAAAATGTTTTGATTGGCCCCAAGCGGTGGTAGTCTGGTCTTGTCTTATATGTTGTACCCGTGGCTATTATGCCTTAAAGTTCTGACTTTGTGGGGCATGGCAAAGCATAAACTTTACAATGCACTTTTTCTATGCAAAGGTGCATCGTGCGTTCCACCAACTATCTCAACTGATAGTTGTGAAGCTGGTTTGCTCAGTATTTGTCATGTTCATGTTCACTTACCTGTATGCAAGTACTCTTTTAAAGATGATTACACTGAAAACGAGCATTTTCCATCTATAGTATGTTAATCTACTAGTAAAAGAATTTATTTGTGCTGGTATAATGCCATTCATTATAAGTAGGTAAATCTTACACACTTAATGCTAAGTAGATTTTCGGTTTTAAAATTTAAATTATGACACTAGTGAGATATTTTCTATTTCTTATTCCTACGAACACTTATAGTTAAAATATCATAATTATACCAATAATATGATCTATCTTTCTGTTTTTTTAATGATGCTTACACATACGCACATTATTTTTACACCCAAACATACATCTTTATGTGTGCATATGGCTTCATTTTTGTTTTTGTGGGTTACAAATATGTATTTTATAAGGTTATCCGTAGTTTACTATTCGGTGTTCACTAATAGGGGGGATTTCTATCATACAGTTTGTCGTATTATATTTTTATTAATATAATATTATTACTAGATTATATAGGTATGTATATTTAATTATGTCTTTAGATATAAGTTGTACTTAATATTGTGGTATAGCTATCGATTAAAAAAATATCTTCGAAATGCCTTTACTTTAAGAATTTGTGTACTGGTTGAATTAAAAAGTTGGATATTAACTTTAATGAATAAACAAATTAATCGTTGAGATGTTTCGGACTAAATCTTATTTTTGCGGGACTTTTTCCACTTCGCATTAAAAATATACATAATTATATAAATAAGTGTGAGTCCTTATATACATATATGTATGTATGTATGTATGTACATATATACATATGTATATATTTAATAATTGAACCGCAACCAATTCAAGTAATCAAACAAAAATGTTGAGTTTTGAGGCGGTGTTTTGCCAAATTGTTATATTTACATGTGTATGGTATATATCAAATATATATTAAACATATACAACATACATTTACGCATGCAACTGTACTGTATATTTATGCAGATATAGATACATCTATGTAAATATAATATTTGGCATAAGCATGTTGACTATTTAAAAGGTGTCTAATTTTTCTTCATCATTATAGCTACAATGCAAGAGTACTACGTATACTACTACGTATGCACAAGACATTGAGCGATTCTAACAATTTTTGTGTTCACAGTGTGTCTATGAGTACTGACAATTGAAAAGGATACGATTTCGAACCCCAAATGTGTAAGGATACCGGATATTCAAGTTCTGCACAATGCAAAAAGTTTTAGAAACCTTCAAAGTATATAAGTCAGAGTATATGCCCCTTTAAGGTTTAAAAAATGTATCATATTCATATTAATATAATATAAAGTACGAGTACCAAACAAATTCTGGGCCCATGTGAGAACATAATGCCTAACTTAACCAATGCCAAAAATGATTCGAATTAAATTTACAGTCGCTTTGGGTTCAAACACTTAATATAAATCAATGGTGTTCCAACGTGGGGGGTTTTAATTGTGTTGCCTTTGTGACTTCAACAAATATGACAACTTACAAATAAGCATACCATAAGATATAATACCTTTGGGAGGTATGGCGATATGCATCGTATAAAAGTGTTAATCATTATATCTAAATATGATAATATTTGTATGTAGTTGTGTATCTAAGTAGTTTATATATGTATGTAGATATATGTATGTACTACGGCATTGACATTCAATGAGTTATTTTCTAAGTACATTCATAAATACATATGCTTGTACACATACATAGTTATACATGTTATTTTACTTGGAGGCTTTCTGACATTTGGATTTGAATATTTACAATATTTCATATTTTCGCTTACATTTTCAAGAATGACTGTATTACAAAATGTGATATTTGGGGATGGGGATATCATATAGCTGAGATAATTAAAAATAAAAATGATACGAGTAAAGCTTTGCGGTACTCCCGCAAGGACAAAGGAACGACCTTTTTTTTCTTTGTCCTGTTCTTGATACTTCGAAAATTATATACATAAATGATATATGTACATATATTCCTAATCAGCATCAACACCTAGCAATGGCCAACTGTCTGTAGAAACACTTGGATATCGTAGACCAAACTTTCTATAACTACCCAATTTGATCGAGATGGGCCTTCTATTGTGCTCACCACAGGAGCATGTGTCTTTTTTATGTATGTATGATGTGCATTCTTGCATCAATTATTAAAATAACTATATTTAATAGAAGCGTTATGGCGTTATTGCTACTGAAAACGGAATGCAAGAACGACTGCCACCACAAACAATAGTTTTCTTGATAGAGATTTTTAGAGTTTAGACTATTAGAATAACTTTCTATAAAGAACATAAGATTAAGATTATTATATTCAGATTTCAATCTTGTTACGTTCTTCTTAGTGTACATACATACATATACATACGTATAAATATGAATAATTATTTGCTAAAGTTTTAGTAAGGCACCTTTTAAATTATATTTGCAAATAAATGTTTAACGCAATATTTTAAATACTGATGATAGGATTGAACACCAACACAAATATACATAAGATTATTCCACAAATAGTTGGAACTATTCTATTATTGCTTGAAACTCCCATTTTATATTCCATATCGATGTCGAGAAGAAGGTCATGATTTCGCGTATAAAATTGGTGAATATCGCTGATCTATAATAATTAGAGATTTACCGTAAATGATGTGGTATGCCGTCGCTAGTCTTAGAATACGCTCCCAAGTACAGAATTTCGTTACTTTATAGGTGAAACATACCTCATTCCATCCATATTTGTTTTTAGCTTGAACAATCGCTTCGTATACGGCATTGTGTTCCAGGTTTCTGACTACATACGACATTAAGTAGTGTGATCCGTCTGTCCTTATTGGCGTTGGTTTGATGTGGTACTCGTGCCATTTACCAGGATGTTGATACGTTTCATTCATCTAAAATGTAGGAAAATAATGTTTAATTGGTTGGCCATTTCATCGGATCCACTGTTACCAAAAGACGCCGGTACAATAGCTTGATCTCATCCAATGGGGGCACAGACTCGATTGCCCATGTTAGGTTGTAGTGATCTAGAAATCCGCTTAGGGCGGGAGAAATAAAATCAGCTGGACCCGGTCGACCAGACACTTCAATATATTTCTTAGTTCTTCCCAGTGCATTATCAGCAACACAGCTATAATTGCCGAAATCTGTCGGTTGAAAGTTGCGAATAATAAGGCTGTATCTATCATCGCGTGGGTACATAGAACGACGATCAGTGGGATCCAGTAAAAATGAATTTTGGTACCATAGCATCTGTAAATAATAAAAAACAAACTGAAATTAGTTTCCCTCGCAATGACTGTCGCATAACGTAACAATGACTGTCGAACGTAAAAAAAGAGAAAGGAACCACAACCGCTAGTTATGTTGTAATGTTAATTCTTGCACTCTGCTTATCATCTTTCTCCGCAATGAATTACTTTATTAGAATTTCCGTTTCCATTGCTCTTTACATTTTGTTTAAATCTGTCTCACTCTCTCTTCTTTAACCAACAACCCAATCGCACCCCTCCGCCAGAAGACGCACATGGCACGAGAAAGAGTGTGAGTTAGAGAGAGAAAGAGGTAATGAGTAAGCGCTTCAAAGGGTTATCCACTGCACTTTCACTTGTACCTTCTGGCGGATCCAGATTCGGCATGGCTTTTTATTCTGATCAAGAATATATAAAAGTAGTGTATACTTTACTTTATACCTTATACTATATATGTATACACTTCATGGGCCGAAAAGACTTCCTTCTGGTTGTTAAAAAAATTCACTTCCACCAAAAAAATATTATAGCGCTCAACCCTTCGAGTAACGAGTATGCCAATTGTGTTACTTACTTCAGAACTCACATCACCGTGCACAATGCAGACCAGTTCAACATCATATCCTTCTGCTGCATGTACCCATGATTTTTCAACGGTAATTTCTGGGGGAGCTGGAAAAGAAATAGTAATATTTTGTGATATTACAAAAAAATAGTATTACGATTATTTTCAACTTATAATGAGATATAAAATACTCTTACATAATATAGTTAGCTGTATGTCCATCGAAACTCGCTCTTTAACGCCATTATCTGCTGAACACTGATATGTGCCAGCATGGTGTCTGTCCACATTCTCTAATATCAATGTGGAGCTATCCGATAGATGAGTTGGTCCGGAAAACACGTCTTTCTTGAACCAGAATATTGTTGGGACGGGATTACCAGAGGCTTTGCATTCCAATGTGACAGTGCTTCCTTTTCGCGCAGTGACTTGTCCATTGTGCGGAAGTGCCCTCAGAGTTGGTGGGACTGAAAATAGTTTAGAGTTGTAAAGTAAATTCATCAAAATGCAATTATGTTTAAATAATATTATACCCAAAATTTCAACAGTATGGACTTGGTCACGATTTTCCTGATCCCCAAGTTGGCATATATAGTCCCCGGCATCCTGCGTCTTAACTCCATTGATCTGCAAGTTGTAGTCGCCAACAATTTTAAAACGTTGATCTCTTGATATTTTTAGATGCCCAGCAGTAAGCACAGATGAGCCCTTCCTCCACAACAGCACAAAAGATCCAAGATTTTGTACTTTGCATGGCAGCTCTATTGTTTCCCCGACAATGACTTTATAAAGGTGACCTCTAGATAAAAATTTCGGAGCAGTTGTGGGTGGGTCATTCTCAGGCAATATGAAGGATCCATCTGGAAAAGAAAGATATTCGGCATTTATTTGATTATCTCAGTTTGAAGTAGTTCTAAAAAATATTCAGAGCTTTCGCATCTCCATGTAGTCTTCTGATTGATTAACATATTGAATATTAGAAAAGTGTAAATATTCAAATGCATACCATAAGCATTTTGTATAAGAAATAAAGGTATAGTACTTACCTATGCAGTATATAGTAAGCGCAAAGAAATATAGAGCAAATTGCCAATACGATCTCCTTGAGTAGTAACTCTGAAATACACGACAAAATGGTATATTTATGTTTGGTTATACAAATCAGGTGCGGTACTTTCGGTTTGCTTTAAGGCCTCGCAAATAAAACTATCTCGCCATATAAACTTGTAACAGGAAAGAAATTCACGACACAGAACCGGATGACATATTGGATAATCTGTGATTAGATCAAGACGTGGAGTTTACTTGACCCTTGCAGTAGAGTCTATTGAATGAGAGTGGAGAACTCCAAAATATGCCAATTTAATTGCTTAAAGTTGCACAATAAGCACAACAAAGGAGCCTTTAGTCAATGGAAAGTCAGGGAAAAATAAGTAATCAACCATATTCTCTCATTCATATATATATTGCTTATTAATTACTTTTTGAGTAAAACAGCGAACTATTGGCTTAACATCGGAATGTTGAAATTCCTGCCGCCGTTGAGGTACAATTTCATCACAGAAACAAAATAACCGGCTATTGAAATAGAGCAGGAATATATGTGTTCAGAAATGTATATTCTTTTAATACCTCCTTTTTTGCAAGACAAAAATATTTTATTGAAAATCCGCAAGTGGATTGGTGGAGTGGTACTATATAGATTTGTACGTCCATATATATTAAATTCAAATGTACATATGTACATTGTACATATGCGCATATTTATATGCATAGAGAAATACATAATAAGTCCTCGTATAAATATGTACATATAACCGTTAATACAAACTAGGGATGCGTGCGGGGGCGGGCCAATCTTGCAAGGCACGGACCGACTCGGCTAAAAAACGAAAAAATATTCGAGGCACGGTGTGCTACGGCAAAAAACGCAGTCCATGCGCATCTCTAGTACAAACTAATCAATATGCAGGCCTTTTAAACCCAATGAAAACTTTAAACACTTCAATTATAAAGTTGGTAAAGATATATGAATACATATCTAAGTACACACACGATACGCGCTTATGTAAACCAAAATACACATACATACATACATGTGTACATACATATGCAGGCATAGCCATATATATCCCCATAATGTACATATGTATATACTTTTACATTATTGCAGACAATAAGTCTTATTTGGTTTCAGAAGTGAAACATTTGAAGTTCACAGGAAAAAAATGCCAATTAATACACGACATTTATGCTGTAATAAACATTTCTGATGTTGGGGGCACACAATTTCGTCCTTACCATTTTAATATGTATTTATTGTGCGTATGTCTTTCTTTTTCTTAACTTTCCGTTAGCCACCAGTTATCTGAATATCGTGGGCACATTAACTCTCACAACAATTCACTATTGCTTCCTAAATTAATATCATTTTCTCTTGTTTGATGTATAAAATGGACTAGAATCGAGGACTGACAAGTATAATTGTATTTATTCTTAAAAGTTATATTAATGGAGCGCATGCTCAGTCGAGGGCAGTGTTATATCGAAAGCTTTTTAGAGCTTTAAAAGCGATATGATGCGAGTAAAGGTCTGGTCTGGCATCTTATCTGCATCACTTATACTTGTAAGCCTCAACATAATATTGGTTTTTCGGTTTTGTAGAATATAGAAGACAATATACAGAGATGGATTTTTTGTTTAGCTGAATACGCAAGAATTTTATTTATAAGAATATTATTTTGTGTAATTTTTTTTGGGTGCGATGAGTTTAATTTATTATTTTATGTTAAACTAACACTTCCGGCCCAGCTGAAAGGAAAATCTGAATAGTCGTAATTCAAAAATATTCATATTAATGCAACACTATACCTTATACGTTCCAAAATGTTTCAAAAGTTTATTTATGTGGGACTAATACATTTGAATTTGAATATTAATGAACAGTAAGTGCGTATGAGATCCACCTATTTCTTTTTCTTTTGTTTTGCCATCTTTTTAGCCATAAACTTGCGCCTTAATTTCAAAAATTTGTTAGACTTTCCAAACCATTTGTCAAATTTGTCCATGATCTAAAGATATTAAGTTACGTATATTATCAATATTTGGATTACAAGCTTTGATGTTTTACCTTTTGTTCTGGAGGAAATATTGGCTCATCATGTTTGCTCAAGAAATATTCCAAAAATTCGTTGGGGTCTAACGCTTCATTGTTAAGCCTCATTCTTCGGGAAACATCTAATGTCTCACTTATGTTCTGTGCGATATCACCAGAGTTATATGCTTGCAAGACTCTTGCCAGCGCAGAATATGCATACTCCTCCATATTTTCTACGTTTTCTGTCATTAGTTCTAGCCAAAGCAGGAAACTAGTACCATAGTCGCACTTTGGTATAAGCAGGACTTTCTGGAATGCTTTCTTGAATTTTCCCTTCGCAGACCATGGCATGTTGCTGGTGCCCAATAAAACAACCTTGTCAGTTTTTTTGATATTTTTCAAAATGCCTTTCGGTATAGAAGAAGCGAGGAGCGTTGGATTAATTTCCTTTAGCTCAGGCGGAATCTTTTTCAAAAATACACGATGAGCTTCTTCGATATATAATATAGCTGGCTGAAAGGCCTTTGCTACTTTCATAACAACATGTAGGAAATACTTCATATTATCAGCAAATTTAAAAACTTTTTCTGGACTAAGATTTATAAATACAGCATCTGAAATATAAACGATAATCGATATAAGTCATAACTGATTTATCATATGTCAATGCATAATACATACCTAATTCCGATGCAATTATATTACAAAGTAGCTTTTTCCCACTGTTAAGTGGTCCTATTAATAAAATTGACTTTGGTTTATCAATATCGAATTCTCCCATTCCCAGCATTGATTCTTGAATGATCATTTTTATATCCCCCTTCGCTGGGCCCACAGTTCTGTAAAATGTGTTCACATTCGTATAAATGAGACGATATTAAATATTAAGCTATAAAAGTACTAACGTTAAACCATCTTCATCTCTTGTATCATTTGCTAAAAAGTTGAAGTCGGCAATAAATTCATCAAAATCTTTGTGGGAAACTTCCTCTATAATTCCTTCATCTTTCAATTCTTGGTATAATGAATCAAGCGTTCGATCGGCTGTCATATCCTTGACCTTTTTCTTCTTTTTTTCCTTTTTAGCTTTGGCCTTCTTTACTTTTTGAGCCTTATATTTTGTCTTGGTATCTTTAGCCAAAGCTGCTCTAAGCAGCTCATATTCTATCCTATAAGATAATCGATTCAATTAACATCAAATATAACTATTAAACTTGAAAGTATGATGTGTTACTCATCGAGTTTCTGTATACCAACCAAACCTTCAAAATGTAATCAGAATCGGTATAGGTACTTTTACTTACAAAGAAACAAGAAATGTGTAATATATTTACCTCATATATTCATCAACCAATCCTCTCAGCTCCTGATGTATCTTCGCCAACTCTTCCTCTGTAACCCAATCTTTGATCGGATCATGATTTTTGTTGAGGTATTCATCAATGTTTCTCCAATCAAGAGCAAATTGCTTCATTGCTTCTTCAATATTTGCTGTAAATATATATATATAAATATATGATATTTGTTGTAGTATAGCGCAAAAACAAACAGAGAGTACTCTCCCTACCTATGGCTTTGCTTGAAGTCATCTCGTAGGCAACATCAATTATTCCGGCATCTTTTAATTTTTTCCTTCGTTTCGCGTCCTTCATTTTCTGCTTTCGTATTTTGTCCTTTTGTTTCTGCTTTTCTGCCTTTTTCTTTTCAGCCAACTTCTGGCGTTCCGCTTTGGTCATAGGCTTTTTACCTAGAGTGTCTTGAAACTCTAATGGAGTCATTGTTTCATCGATGACAACTAATACGGTTCCAGTTTTAATCGGATCGGGGTATGGGTGGAAGTTTCCGGTCTTTTCATAACTGTTAAGATAATTAATTAAATATTGTAAATATAAATTGTTGATAATGTTGTAGCCTTTCCTTCTCTGTTCAAAGTTATGCAAACAAAAAGATGTCATAGAACTTACAATTCTTTAAACCAGGCACGAATATGATCGGATATGTCTTCCATCATCCAAGGAGTTCGCATTTGCAGAAGCCTTGTTCGTTCATCAGTAATTAATTGAATATATTCCTCGTCCAGCTTCTTTTTCAACATCTCCTTTTTATACATTTCCAAAACTGAATTCGCAAAACGATTCGGGCGTTTTAGCTTTCTATGTTTTTTCATACCGTATAATTCTTCTTTAAATCTACTTCTCATTCTCATAATCTTTCTTGTCTTGTATCGCCTCCAGCAATTTTGTATCTTACTAGCTGCATCGTCTCGTAGTTTATTTAGCCTTTCCAATTCTTCATCTAGAATACAAATATAGCTCGAGTTAAAATATATATATATTCATCATAAATTTATTTACTATCAGTAGACGGCTCCAATACATCTATTTTTTCTTTTAAGTTTTCACATGATTCCACGTCCTTTATAAAATCGGCCGCAAATATAGTTCTCTTAACAGGTATACTCATTGCTTGATCCGGCTTGAATGTAAATCTATAGTTGATTTTTTTTCTTTGTAGGACCTTGAGAAATTTCTTTTTATCATAGTTTATATTTGACTTATACACACGAGCTCTGCGCGCCCTTTCGTGCGCTTGAATAAGCGTCACTGCTTCTGTAACTTTTACCCAATCCTGTGCTTCCCTCTCAACCTTTTCTATATCATTCATGTACAATTGGTTATCGGCTACGATATTTTGAACGTCCAAGGGACGGCGATATAAAAATTGAGGTGATCTCCAAATAACTAGATCCCGCGGCGTGAGCCTTCTAGCAACTAATGCTTTATCTATATATACGTACTCGCTCAACTCCATGCCTTTCAATTCCTCCTTGAGCCTCAGCAGCTGCTGTGTTGCACTCTCAACAAGAATGCGCACTACAGCTCGTTTTTGCACTTGAAAAGTATTATGATAGATGAAACTCAACTTGTTTACAAGCTCTACGTATAGCACATAAAGCTCGGAAAATATTTTAAATGAGATAGCCTTCTCTTCGGGGGGTTCCAATTTCTTCAATCGATTCTGCTTTTTGATGAGTTGCCCAATATCTTTTCTGGTAGCTACCCATAGCTTATGATTAAGGTCAAAAGACATTGTTTTTATTGAATTGTACAAAAATTCTCTGAGGGAGTATGTATGTGTTATATATTGTATTTATTTGTATTTATACACTAAATAAAATAATAAATCGGTTAAGTGATTTTGCATGGGTTACTTAGTACCAATATAAATTGATACACACACAATCTATTACTTATCTTTCATGAACAATCAGGGTATTTGGAAAGGAACTACAACCGCTTCTTTGTGGTCGATCTGTATTTGATTAACACCGATGAGGGCTTTCTCAATAAACAATTTCATCTGAAAATAGAAACAATGCATTAATTATGACTTCAGTTCGTTAAAGCTCAAACATATACAGCTACAGAATACATAGCAGTTATCAAATTCTGCAAGGTAACGCAGACTTACAAAATCAACTTTATTAGCAACTAACCTGAAGTGTATCCTTAGCATAAATTGGTTTTGTTATATAAAACTGATGACTGGGAACATCTTTCAACAGGCCTGGATAAATTCAAATTACATTGTTAAGTTTAATTATAATAATAATAAAGGGGTGCCTAACCTTTCCTTGTTATGTTGGGATGCTGAACATTGTTCCACAGTTCATGCAAGCGCTGCGAATAAGTCTTTATTCTGTCGGTGTACTCCTGATGTTCCAGGCTATGGCAATCCATAGCGCCCACATTGATCATGTTTCTAGAAATATGAATGCAGATAAGTATATATGTACATATGTATGTATGCACAATGCATATGCATATATGTATGTGGGTATGGGCATGCATATTGCTTCTTTTGAACTACGTACATTGCTGTATTCTGTACAAGTCTAGATAGTGCCGTTTGGTCATCTTTTTTGGGAAGTGAGTGGGAATAATCGTTACTTAAGCCATCGGAATTGCTTCTTCTAAGGGCTGGACTATGGTTGACGGGATCTACGAGTAGGTGTGTTCTTTCGTTTGGTTCAATGTTCTGCAAGACAAAGTAGCAATGCTTCTATTATTGTCCAAAAATGTCGTCATTACAGCTTACCTGAGCACCAACGTCCTCGGCGCAATGCAAGCAACTGCACACCGAAGCAATGTAGTTCCAAACAGAATGAACATATTCCATATTACACGTGCGTTTTATTATTATTTTTATTATTCAACATTCATTCAACAGTTTAATTATTGTAAAATTTAGTGATGTGAAACTATCGATGGTTTCCTTGCAGCGAGACCATCGATATTTTTAGAT